GAACGATTCTGCTGTCCCTCCGGGGGCCTCAAGAATCGCGCATCCCTCCTTGCTTTCCTGAGGCTGTGGTAACTGGGAGAGGGTGGAGGTGGGTGTGGGCTTCAGGGCGCCGCCCCAGGAGTGGAAAAAGCCCTCACCTGCTGCCCGGTCCCCTTCCCAGCCAGCACCAGATGCTGAGCCTGGGAGGATGTTTATGGAGACAGCGAACGGTGTGGCAGGGCCTCCTGAGGGTGGCTGCAGGCTCCCCGGTGGTTAAAGATTATCCTGCGCTCCGGATGTGAGACTCCAGACAAACAAGACTCCTGGCCGATGGTTCCTGTTTCACAGGAGGCCTCTGTGCCAGTGCCTAGTGCCTGCCTCGGTTCCCCTGCACTGCCACCCATGCGGCAGGCCCTATGGCCTCTGGGTGGTAGCTGACCCCAGGGCCTCCTCACCTGGCCCCTGTTCTCCCAGGTTGCTTTCCCAGCATGCTCTGCTCTTCCCACAGGCCCCTCCCATGGGCCTCTCACAGTCAACGCAGTTCCGACCCTGCTTCCTCCAAAACGCCTTCCCCAACCCACTCCGCAACAGACGACAGGGGCCTTGGGCTCAGTTGGTCTTTATTCTAATCAGATATCTACCCTGTGGAAGTGGAGATTCAGAAGGGGCCCCAAGGAGTGAGTCTAGGACACACAGATCCACACAGGGAAAGTTTTCCAAGTCAGTTATTCAGCTGGGTGTGGTCAGTTATTCAGCCAGGTGTAATCCCAGCAGTTAAAGGGCTAAGGCAGGAGGATTGCCGTGAGTTCAAGCCTAGCCTGTCTGCAACAAAACAGAACAAAACAGCCAGTTACTCAGAGATGGGGGCTAGGTAGCCAGAGAGGTGGTGAGCTTCCTGTTCTCAGAGGCATTCTAGCTAAGGCTGAGAGAGCTGACAAGGATCAGTGGATTTCCTGGTTCCTTGGCTCCTCAGTTCCTCTAAACTCAGGTCTAATCGCAAATGGTCAGACTCCTGCAACTAAACTGTACTGAAACGTTTTCACGGCTCTAAGCTGGAGCCACCTGCTGGCTGCTGGCCTGGGGCCAGTGTCGGGCTTCTCCCTCCCTTCAGCCCCCTGCCCAGGGCTGGGCACACAGTAGGTCAGTGGGCGAGGGGAGGGAGCTTCTGACACTGGGCTCCCTGCGCTTGCAGAGCCAGGTTACTTCTGTTCTGGCCCAGAGTGGCTGAAAAGGCCATTCTGGAAGGGCGGACAAGTGACCAAGCCAGCCGCGACCTTGTGCCACCCCGGCCCTGTCACAAACACCTCCCGGGGGGAGCGGTGTCCCTGGCACTTATTGGATGACTTGTTGCTTCCAAACGTGGGGCTGCCCCACTGCTTGGGGTTCCAGGCTGCCACGCAGTCTTGGGTGGAGGCTGGTCCTACTCATCCTGGCAGGCCTGGGGCCACACAGGGCCCTGAGTCTGTCTCGACGTGGGCTTGCTGGGCACAGGCTCTGGCCACGGTGCCCTCTGCACAGGGCTCGCCTCTATCCCAGGCTGCGTCTATTTCAGGGCTCGCAGCTGGGCCTCCCGACGGGCTGGTTATTTTGGAGCTGGCCGGGCCCCGCAGCTGCTCCCGTGGGCCGGAGGGGAAGGGGGAAGGGGCCTGGGCTGGCCCTGACCCCAGGGACTCGGGCCCGGTTCAGCCTTTCTCCCAGCAGTGCCACCAGCTCCACAGCACTTCAAGCAAGGCCACAGGGGCCGCTCTGCGAGCCCCGCCCTCCCCTGCCGCCCCTTTCCTCACCTCTCCCTCCTCTGACCGCTGCTTCTGGGCGCAGCTTTCCCGGCTTCAGTCAGCGCTATCACTCGGAATAGTTTCCTAGGCGCCCACCACGACTGCCGGGAAGTCCTACGTTAGGGCTCCAGAAGTGCTCAGGTGGAGCCGACCTGAGTAACCAAGGAGACCCGAGGACCTTTTGGGTGCCGGGGGCTCCACTCCAGCCCTGACCTCAGCCGCAGCCTCTCAAGGCAGGCGTCCCCGCTCCATTTCCAGGTGGGCCGCCAGAGACTGCAAGGTGGCCGGCCACGGCTGAGCTGTGCATTTAAAGGCAGGCCCGAGCTTCCCCGCCCCATCCCGGTGAGACGCGTGGAATGCAGATTGTATTAACGAGTGGGTTTTTTGTTCGTTTTGTTTTTAAAGGCAGAGTCTTGCTATGTAGTGCAGGCTAGCCTTGAACTGCAGTCCTCCTAGTGCAGCCTTCTGTGTGCGGGGATTATAGGCGTGCGCCATCCCGTCTGGGTGATCTCAGCGGCTCTCCCATCATGGTTACCTAAGGATCGTGATGGGCCAGGCGCTCAGTCTCCTGGTGCCCAGACGGCCTTGCTGCATTTCACCTCTCAGCGTCCCTTCCGAGGGGAAGATCAGGACACAGAGTATGCAAACCCAGAGGTACAGCTCTCACTGCTGAGGAAGAGAGACCCACAAGGTTGAGCTGCTTGTCCAAGATCACAGGGTCCTGTTGCAATGAATGGGCAAAGTCAGCATTTGAACCCAGGCTGATACGCTCCAGTTCAGTGGCCTTACTCCGCTCCTACCAGTACATGGGCTTTGGTTCCTAAGGAAACCCAAGTCCTCTTGGGCTGCACCATTAGAAGTACACATACCATTGGCGTTGACGGCCACACTGCTCCTTGAGGTGGCGAAGGCATATCTGGAGCACTGTCGGGCCGTGCTCGGTGTCTAAGAGGGGGAAGGTATGGGACACCCTGGGTATTCCTTGAGCATGGGTGTCTTCAGGATGGAGTGATAGCCCAGGAGGTGGGGGGTTACGTGTAACACACCTTGGGGAGGTGTGTTACAGTGTAAGGGAAGGAGACCCTTGAAGACATTAGCTCCACAGAGGAGCAGGCTGTCTGGGTGTCATGGATGTCATGGACACCCGGGGCAGGCATCTTCAAGTAGCAGAGGAGCCCTGGAGAGCTCACGCCCAGCCCTGTTCAGAAAGCCCGTGACAGCCTTGTGCCACAGGCCCTGGCTGGACATTGTGAGCCACTTCATTTCCTCTTCCTGCTGTTCCCCTCCTCCTCCTCTTCCAGTCCTCTGGAGTCCCCGAGGGTGCGGGGCTGTTCCTCAGGGCCCAGGCCAGCCGCAGGCCCTCTGCGGGTCCCCACCGCTGTCCCCGGGGCTCTTCCTGCTGGGCGGCCCCTTGCTTTCTGCCTCTCTGCATCAGCGCTGTCACGGAGTCAATTCTCCGGAAGAATCGCATTTTCCAGTCGGCTCCCTCCTCGCCCACACGATGCTGGGAAACCCAGGCCCCAGGAGGCTTCTCCAGAGCAGCAGGAGGGGGCACCAGCACCCAGACCTCAGGGGCCCAGACAACACGGCTCCGCGGGGGGCCAGGGCAGGGTGGGTGAAACACAGGGAGACTGGAGAGTGGTGTCCACGCTCAGCTGGAGCTGCATTCTGCCTCTGCTGACCCTGCCAGACCAGTGCCCCAAGCCTTGCCGTCCGCCCGAGCCACCTGCCACCCTTGCCCAGTGCCCGAAGACGGCACACAGACACCAGGAGAAGGCTCCGAGGGAGGCGCTGGTCCACGGTGGGACCTACAGTGGCGCTGGGCGGATCTGGGAGCGCCTGTAGAAGGGGTCCAACTGTGAGCAGGGTCTGGAGGTGATGAATGGGGCGTCAGGGCTGGGGGGACCTTCGCTCTCCGCCTGGCGGCTGCCACACAGCCTGAGCTCGTCTGTCACACCGGCCTCCTTGGAGGACTGCTTTAAGTGCGGTTCATTTTCCTTAGAAGGCGCAGGGCTCCACCAAGCAGCACATAGTGGCCTGCAAGGAGCACAGTGTTGGAAACGGCTCTGGGCAGGGAGAGGAGGCATCCCGGCCAGAGGCCAGGCACGCTGGCTGTGGGAAAGGACGGTAGTAGCAGGAGGCTTAGCCAGAGTCCCAGGCAGCCTGGAGTTCCCCACTGAATTAGTGAGCATGTGCATTTTTCTGGGGGGACAGGTCAACGTTACCACATTTCCAGAGAGATTTACTACACATCAAAGATTAAAAACTACCGGTGTTTATAGAGCATAACTCAGTTTTTGCATTAAAAATAACCAAAAGTATATTTTTAAAAGGCTGAAAGGTCATAATCCAGATATTAGAAGCGTTTTCCCCTGGGTGGGCACAGACCTGCGCTTTTCTTTTCGCTGGATTGTATTTTCTATAAAATAGTTCCTACTATTTGTGTGGTTAGAGGGACAGGACCAGAGTTACGTCACTCTCCCGGCATCTCTTCCCTCGGGTGTCCTCAGGTGGCGGTGGCGACCTCCAGGGACAGGATCAATGAGGGCGTTTGCCAGCGCAGGTGGGGGAGGGGGTTCCCTGTGGCCTCCGGGTGTCAGAAGCCCTCCGTGCAGCCGCGCGCGTTTACTATTTGCCTGCGGAGTGCCTTGCGCTGTTCTAGGTGATGGGGTAAAGGGGCGTCCCAGGGGTAACATTTAAGAAAACGTTTTTGGGGGCCAGGGGAGGTTGTTGGGGACCAAACTTAGAGCCTTCCCCTTAAAAAAAAAAAAAAAACCCAATAAATTCTTAGCTGAGGGTGAGGGGGTGTTGAGGCAGGAGGATCAAAAGTTCGAGCCCAGCCTGGGCCATTTAGCGTGACTCTGTCCTGAAAAATAAGTGCTGGAGATGTAGCTCAGCCCGAGGGCCTGGGTTCAATCCACAGGCCCAAACAAAACAACAAAGAAACGGTAAGTCTCGTGCACGGTTCTGTAGACGGCAAGAACACAGTATTACGAAGCACCCGCGGCCTTCCAAACACTCAGATGCAATTGCTCGGTCTTGAGCTGGGTGTCTTCCAGCCGCATTCCCTTGGTCGGACAGGCAGCTGCCCGCACAGCCGTGCTTCCTGCCTTGCTCGGCCATGTATGTCCCAGGCACTTTCTGCTCCGGCGAGCACCCGCCAGGCGTGTCCTAGGCGTGTCCTAGGCGCGCGAGGCTGGCGGGGCCCTGGCGCGGGCAGTGACGGCCGCCCGTTTCTCCCCGCAGACAGCGAGCTGGTGCTGCCCGACTGCCTGCGGCCGCGCTCCTTCACCGCCCTG